CACAACGTCTCTCTGCCCCCCTCCAAGGCGGGGCATGGCCCAGTCCAGCAGAGCTCCACTCCCTTTGGGCTGGGGGAAGCAGAGCTGGGGGTTGGCTGGCTGCACCCCACAATCCCCACAGGGCTGCTGGGTGCCGGCCGGCTGGAGCTGGTGCATCCCCAGGACACACGGGGCTGGGGTCAGTGGTGGGATCTACAGGACCCCCATCCCCCACCCTTCTCTGCCCTGCAGACACCCCCGTCCTGTCGCCTGGCCTGAGCCCCCCCACTATTCCCAGCAGGGACAGGGCATTGGGGGCAGGGAGCTCTGAGCAAGGGCTTGCCAGGCCGCTTCGGAAGCGGGAGGAAGCTGTCGGGGGGGGGGGGAACGGGGGGAGCGGAGATGGATTTAGCAGGAGCTGCACGTTTGCCATGGTTCTCCCAGCCCCCTCCCCCCCAGGGCCCCCAGCCAGGTCTATTTATAGCCGGGCGGTGCAGGGTCAGCGCTATCGCATCCCGTCCAGATGAGCACAGCAACTTGTGCGCCAGGCCCGGCCCGGCCACGGACCGCGGCGAGGGGGGGCACCCTCAGCTCAGGGCCTGATGGGTCTAGACCACAGAACACCCCCCACCTCACACCCCGACAGCCCCCGCTCGGAGCAGCAGGACTCCGGCTCCCCCCCAGTGCCGTCCCCGCCCCCTGCCAACCAGCCAGCAGCACTTTGCTTTCGAACCCGTTGATTGGCTACATGCAGGGAATTGGGAGGGGGGGGAATGTAATTTTCACCCCCTTCCCCATGAACAGTTCTGGGGTTTGGGCCCCAGTCCTGGAGGGGGTCTGACTCAGCCCAAAATGGGATTTTTACCAAGGTAAAAGGATTGAGGCATTGCCTGGTACATTGGAATTTGTATCCTGCAGGCCCCCCCCCCATACATCGACAGAACCCCCATGGTGGCTGCACGGGGCACCCAGACACAGCCCCACCCTCCACCGGGCACTCAAATCACTGTCCTGCCAGGTTCCCAGAGCGAGATGGGGGGGGCAGCCCCCAGGGCCACCGGGCAGCTGGTCAATAGGGCCTGGGAACGCAGCTCCCTGCAGAGCAGCCAAAAATAACTGCCTTGCACGGGGCCTCCCAAGAGCCGGCCAGTGAACCCCCACCACCACCCCGCCCCCATGTTCCTGGGACGTTGGCTTCCCCCGGGCACACTGCCCCCAACGCCCCGCAACACACACAACAGGACCGGCCCAGTCAGATGGGTTTTCAGAGACGGGTTGTCCCTGGGGGCTGCCTGGTGCCCCCCCACCCCCTCTGGCAGGGGCAGGTGAGGAGAACCGGCCCCCCCTTCCGAGGATGCCCCGAGGGGTTGAGCTGAGCCCGGCCTGCGGAGGGGTAACAGGGCTGGAGCGGGGAGGGAACCATATATTGGGGGGGGGTGATCCAAGGCCAGCACTAGGCTCCCCCCAGACCCCAGGGCGACAGAGCCAGGCTGGGGGTGAACGGTTCAGGCCAGGGAAAACACTATGTGAGCTGGCATATCACCCAGAACAGAACCCTCCCATCCCAACACCGCCCCCCCCCCAATACCTCCCCAATGCTGCACCCCCTGCAGTGTGACCCCCTCCGAGAACCGTGCACACTTACCCCTCCCCAGTGCTCTGTGTCCCTCACACGCTCACCCTGCTGGCACACTGCCCCCAGGACCCCTTACCCACCCACTGCCCCATGCCCACCATTCCTTCCAAGGGGAGTTCCTATTTACCGCCGTGCCCTGCATGAAGTGGGCACGTTAAAGCCACCCCCGCCCCCTCAGCCAATTCAGTCCCTCCTTCGTCTCTCACGCCCCCCAGCTGCAGCTGCCACGTCCCACCCCAGCCCTGGCCGCATCGCAGGAGTGGCTAGTTCAGACCTGGACGGGTAGAAAGGGGGACGGCGAAAAGCCAGGAAGGAGATGTGAGAGGGGCTCCAGAGGGCCATGGGATCCTCTAGGTGAGCTGGCTGGGGGGGGGAGGGCGCAGCTCCAGGACACCACAACGCCTGGAACATCCCCAGGCCCCCCGAGCTCTGCAGAGACATCGGCTCGCTACTCCCCTCCCGCGGGGTCAGCAGCACCAGCCCCTCCTGGGGAGACCGAGGGGCTATCTCCATGGGGGTGGCCGCAGACTGGAGCTACCATTTCCAAAGGGGTCGGCGCCTCCATTCAAAATCTTTAAAGGGTCCACAAATGAGAAGAGGGTGAAACCCCCCCGGCCTACACTGCAAAAGACAAGAAAACCCACGGCCCGAGCCTGAGCCGGGAGGGTCCGGAGCCCGGCCTCCACCCCTAGCGGGAACATCTACCCTGCTAGGGTTAGCCCCCCAGCACGAGGTGTGGACAACCCTGAGACACAGAGCGGGGAAGGGAGTCAGGGCAGGCCACTCAGCAGCGCGAAGAACGGAACCCAGGAGTCCGGGTCCCACAGAGGGCCAGGAGAAGACAGCTGGAGCCCTCTTCACCGTGCTTCTGCCCCCCACAAGGGCCCCCGATTTCCTGCCTCGGGGACCCAGCCTTGGCAAAGGCAGCCGCTCACACCCCACAGCTGAGCCGTGGGGCTTGGCTGCCCCTCCCCCTAGCCCAGGGCCCGTCTTCCACCCCCACGCGACCAGGCCAGAGGGATGCATGCGCCATGGCTGGAAAACCGGGGAGGGAGGGGTGAGAGGAGAGACCTGCCAAGGGTGTTTGCCTTGCCCCCACGGCTGCCTCCACCCCCTACCCTGCACCCTCAGCAGCAGCGCCAAGGCACGGCCAAGGGAGTCGCCAGATTGGGGGCAGGGCAGCACCAGGAGGGCAGGGAGAGTGCCCACGCCCCCTCCCCCAGGATGCTTATGGTGCACAAGCAGCGCCATGACCCTATGCACACGAGGCGCTTGAGCGAGGGGCCCTCCCCTTTGCACACACCCGTGCACCCCAGGCACGAGCCATGTCATGGGCCATCCACACGTTCGACCCCACGGCGACAGGCCGGGGCTGCCCCTGCTACCTCCCCCCCCGGGGCAGCTCCAGCCATCCCCAGGCCTCCAGACAGGGGAGAGGGGAGGGTCTCTGCACGTGGGAGCTGCCTGAGGGATTATGGGTACCGGGGGGAGCAGCCAGTTTTGGGGATGGAGGCAGCACCAGGGCAACGCCCCAGTTCAAATCACCCTGTCTGGGCAGACGGTGTTACAGGACCCTGGCATCCGGTGAAAGCAACCCCCACCCCCAATGCCCAGACAACAGGGGCTTGGAGTCCTGACCCCCCAGTGAGTCCAGGACAGGGGTCCGCAGCCCCCTCCCCAGCCTCTCGCATGTACCACGAGTGGGTCCTGTGCCCCTCTCTCCCAGCCCCCCAGAGCCTGTGATGGGGACCCTGCCCTGAGAGCTGGCCAGCTCCCAGTCACCGTCAGACCTACACACAGGCATGGTCCACCCCATCCCTCCCCGGTGCCCCCACCCCTGGGGCCCCCAGTCCCCCACGGAGGACGAGGCCCTGGCAGACCTGTATCCACACCCTGGTCTCACAGCCTGCTGGGGACACCGGCTGGCATCTCCCCCATGGGCCGGGCACTCAGCGAGAGGGAGACCCTGCCGCCAGGCACCCCACATCTCGTCTACACAGACCCCAGACACGGCCCCACGCAGCCACGGGACCCCTCGTCAGCCTGCCCCCGGCCAGCCAGCCACCAGGCCAAAGGGGACATCCAGCGCGGTGATCTGACGCTCCTGCTCCATGCCGCCCCTCACCCCCGCGTCTGACCCTCACCCCCCGCCACTTTTATCATGCATTGTCCCCCCGTTAGTTGTGTTCTGGACTCTGTGGTCCCTCCTGGCTCTGGGTGGGGCTGGGGTCACTCTCCCCCCCCGGGACTGAAACTCACCCTCACCCCAACATCCTGTCCCCTCTGCCCTCGAGGGCCTCATGCCCCACTCCCATCCTCCCACAGACAGTCTCCTCCCAGCCCCCACAATAGAAGGCTTTGTCCAGCATGCACCCCCCGCCCTCCCGAGAAAACCCCCGGCCCACAATAGAAGGCTTTGTGTACCTCCCCCCACCCCCAGAGATGAGACACAAGGGATGGTCCGATTCAGCCCCCGCCCCAGAGGAAGGGGGCAGCAGGAGGTGGCGCTCAAGGATGGCAAAGGGGGACAGGCGTTGGTGCTTAAGTGTGTGTGTGTGGGGGTA